TGGTTTCGAGAGAGAGGTCGCGCGAACTGACTGCGCCGCCACGCGTGCCTCCCGAGTGCAGATGGCCGTATTACCGGGTACATGGCTTGCTTATCGTCAAAGAACCCAAGTCTTCGGTACTTGCTTGCGAAAATGAAAAGGCTTCTTTATTCGAGTACAAGCGTGGCACATTACCCATGATTTGCAGAATGGAGGAGTTCTAGAACCCCCTTTTTGGTATACATCTGTCAGGGCCGTGTTCGAGGTTCGACTGCAGGAATGATTGCTGATTTCGACAGTTGATTTCAACTGAATTGATAGAGGCATATTTAGAAATCTGACAGGAAACTGTTTAATCTGCCTTGGTAAATCAAATTCTGCGCAATGTGTTGTATAGCGACTCACAACTGGTATGCTGCCTGCGCTGACCTCAACTTGCATAACTCTGACGACCTGCCCGATATGGAATAGAGTGGGTGTAACAAGAAAATGTTCTAAGACTGAAGCCCTGTCACAATTTCATCGGTTCAACGTATTCAAGGAGGATGAGGGCTGTCAGGCACAGGCACAGGCGCGACAAGAAGGATCTGAAGACTTGGCTAGAATCGCCAGGGTCAACGTCTCAATGCAGATGCGTCCCTGACTCCTTGCATAGTCCCCATTCGTCACCCGCCGAGATGGGTTCATGCAAGTTTTGACAAAGATAGCTGTGCCGCAGAGACTCACAGGATAAGACGTAATCCCGATACCCACACCAGCCGTAGTTTGTACAGTCTGCCTGGAATTGAAGTCGAACTCTTGTTGAAAGCATCAACTCAATCTTGTCCCCCCGCCGACCACCCAACTGCCGCAAACGCAACAGCTCTAAGAGCGTAACGACAATGGCTGTCGATTCGGACCTCTCTCGGATTAAGACTACCATCGTGCCACTAGCAGCGAATCCAAATGCCGTACAGGTGATTTATACCAACATTGTGTTGGTGACACTTGTGACAGTGTGGACAGGGCTGCGTCTGTACTCGCGAAAGATGCGCCGGGTTCCCTTTGGAGTTGACGACAGCTTGTATATGGTAGCGCTGGTATGAAATGAGGATAACCCCGTGAACACTTGGGTTATAGACTAATCGTGAATTCGTCAGACACTGTTCTACGGCTTCGTAGTCCTGCATTTCATGAGTAAGTATAGCATTAACTAGGTTGTCATTGGGTTTCGCCCATAGAAATGTAACACATTTCTATCGATGCACGACTGACCAACAATTCTCAGTGCTTTTTCTCGGAGGTGCAGGTCATCACGTCTCTGAGCTCCAGCCGTGGCATATCGAGAAGTTGATGAAGTTTGGGTATGCTAGTCAAGTGGTCTACGCTGTGTCTCTTGGGTCACTTAAGATCAGCATCTGCTGGATGCTTCAACGCATCTTCTTTATCCGCCCATTCAAGGTAAGCAATTAAGACCCGCGTCAAAGCGATCGCAATCCCCTCATATCAATGTAGACTCAGGGTCATTAATCGGCGACTTCCTGGTCAACAGATTGCGGCCTGGGCAACCATGGGCTTATGCATTGCCTGGACTTTGATGACGATTTTTATTGGGTTACTCATCTGCAGACCTATTGCGATGCAATGGAATCCAACAGTTCCCGGGGGAGTTTGTGGTGATAAGATTACAGCTTTTGCTGCTGTGGGCGTGGTGGATGTCATTGTCGATCTGATCATCTTCATTTTGCCCATCCCAATGGTGCTGAAACTCCAAGTTTCCAGTGCACACCGGATCGCACTCATGGGCATCTTCGGAGCCGGTATCCTGTAAGTGAAACCCAAAGCTACTTGGTCATTGTCTGTTCTATGCAATGTTGGACGTATGACATTCGGACAGGTTCTGACAGATGAACTCGCCCTTAGGACAATCGTTTTCGGAGCCCTGCGACTTGCTTCGGTCTTCAGCGTTGACTTCCTCGACTTCTCCTTTACATCACCAAACGCTATGGTATGGAGCTCAGCTGAAATGGGCGTCGCACTCATGGTATCGTCGTCACCGATCCTCAGGCCTGTCTTCGATCGCATATTTGGCCGGTTCATCAGTACCCTTCGATCGAGTGCAGACCGAACCAATCTTCATGCGAAATACTACAATGGTGGCAAGTCTGGAGCGACGGGACCTCGTACATTTATATCAGCCTCAAAGCCCCACTCCCGAGGGGCCGATGGATTCATGGTCATGACCGACTCGGATGAGAACCTTGAGATGGATGACATGCATAAAGAGACAGACGGAACGGCCCTTGGGGGGAGAAAAGCGAGCCATAGGCGTTCCGAGTTTGGCGAAGCGCAGGGCGGACGTGCTATGAGAGATGATGAGTCGACGGATAAAATCTTTGTTCGTACAGAAATCGTCCAAAAGACAGATTAGAGAGTCTTGGAAAATCTGGAGATCTGTGTTTAGCGGGACTAGTTTTAGCTACTCTGCGGCCATTTATATCCAACATGAATAGATACATCTATAAGACCACCAGCACTTGAAGCCTAATGAACTGACCTGCGTCTTCTGCGCTTCGTCTGCGTAGCCTCGAACTCCTCCTTAACCAGTTCAAGCATGCCATCAACAGTCAGGATATCAATAGCAACGCCAGCCATACTCTTCGCGACCATGATGGCCTTATCAAATGCAGCACGACTGCCGGCAGCAACCTCAAAGGCAGCGGTATGAGGGCCACCAGTTGGGGCACTGCCATTCTCGTTTGTGATTCCAAAGAAAGGGCTGATCGTAGGGAAGTCCTTGCTGACGTTTCCTTGATCAGTGCTACCACTCGGTTCGCGCAACTTGTCAACCTCAGCGTTGGGGACCTCACCACCCAGCTCGGTGAAGTACTTTGACCAGGAGCTTGCGAGAACGTCGTTGGATACCATGTTGGAGTAGCCGTAGGGGCGCTTGGTGACGTTGAGCTCAGCCCCTGTGGCCAGAGCACCGGCTTCCCAGCATTTGATGATGCGCTTGGTCCACTCCTCCAGGGCCTCGTCCTCGGCGGATCGAATTTGGAAAGACGCTTGAGCGAGTGCGGGAATGACATTGATGCGTGTGCCGGCGGAGGTGATGATGCCGTGGATCTTGTCGGTTGACCGCGTCTGCTGGCGAAGGAGAGCGATGGCGTTGTTAGCCAAGACCAGGGCGTCTTGAGCATTAACTCCCTCCCAAGGAGAAGCAGCGGCGTGGGCCTCTTTTCCGTAGTATTCTACTTCAAAACGATCGGTCGAAGTGGTGATCATATATGGAGAATCGCCGCTATTCGTGGGGTGAGAAATCAGTGAGATGTCGATGTTGTGGTCTCCGAAAGCGCCGGCCTCAAGCAGCTTGACCTTGCCACCAAGACCTTGAGTTTGAGTGAGCTTTTGCGCAAAGGGTATGATGCATTGCATGTGACCTACTTTCTTCAGCAGGAGTGCCGAACAGGATCACTTTGCCAGGAAGGCTTTCAGCACGCATGATCTCCGCGGTAGCGAGCGCTCCTCCGACAGAGGCTGTCGCAATGAGGTTGTGCCCGCAAGCGTGCCCCAGTCCAGGTAGGGCATCTGCCAAAATCCAGTCAGTCTCGAGGCGAAAGAGTAGCAGTCATGATGGACGCACCGTATTCAGCATTGAAGGAAACCACAGGTCCCTCACCCGATCCTTCAAACACCGCGACGAATGCGGTGCTGATGTTGTAGATGGATCTGGTGACATTCCACCCTTCATGAGATTCCATGAAGGAAGTAAGGAGTTCATGGGCCTTGACCTCTTCGTATCCTAGCTCGGGATTGTCGTGGATTTCCTTGTTGATTGGCCATAACTCATCAACGATGGAATCGATGTAATCAGATACATCGGAGAAGTAAGGGCTCGTTTCGCCGGTGCCGTTGCTCTGGCGAGGAATCACATTGAATGCGACAGCCGAGCTAACACCAAGCGCTGCCACCAGCACCGTGAGAGGACATTGGATACCCATAATGTTCTCGAGTCAGTGAGAAGATAGAGATGGCGAAGCGGGAGAACTTGCGTGAGGAATTGATCGCTGCGTTAGACATAGGTTGATGTGTTTATATGTATGTCGCGGCCCAAAAATTACTCAGACTTTATTGACTCACCTTTTTCCCTTCGCCCATGGCCGGTAGATGGAGACAGCAAATTCCGCCAGAAGCTTAACGTCTTGGCGATTACATGAATAAAGCGCTCATCGATTACACAACGAGACATGCCATTCGTTGTCTGAACGAGACAAGGGGCCTGCGGACATCTGCCCAGCCTTGCAAATGAGGAGAGGGAGTTGAGATCAGCAGAACGTTGAAGAGTTGAACCCGACACAATCTCCACTTCCGTCTAGAGATACCGGCCTTGGCAGAAGAGATAGCCATTTTCTTCCACATCTTCATTATGCTGATATGTCACCCAAGGGGCATGGCCCGGCTCTCCGGGAGAGTTGTCATGTCCGATCGGCTTTGCAAGAACTTGGGGCCCCGCGTGCGTCTTTGCCGTGGAAAAGTCCGTCCACTCTGCTCCTGTTACCCTTCGCGTTGTCACCAAACAGCATCGAGGGGAAGTGGTGGGGTTGGATCCACGCTTGGCAAGTAAGCTTAAATATAGCCGATCGTCAAAAACTTTTGCCGACGGCTATCTTCGCAATCATTGCCAAGGGATGGTAGCGCTCTCTGCTGATTTGTTACACTAACGAGTCAGTTGTGGATGCTGCCGGTTGTTACCGCATCGCCTCATGTCATGAAGTTGGTATGTAAAGTAGCTGGGTGAAACCTCTTGTCGTTGTCCGTACAAATTTCCAATGCCCAACTGAGTCTGTCTACAAACTATCATAGTCATTTCCGCACTTTGATCTTTCATAGATGGCGCCGTGTTTTTCCCTACTGACCACTTAATGAGGAGAGATTGGTAATGAACGGCAAGGGATGCATTTGTTGATAGAGATGGACAGATGTTGTTAGACTGGAATCGGGCTTTTAACATGAAGTAGTTGATAGTGAAGCAATGTAGCGACCTAATGCACGTATCGAAAGGAAACAACTCCTTCGCCACCATGCCCAGCTTTTGATCCTTTAATATGAGTATGGCTTGTGACACCCAAGCGCTCCTCTTCCTCGAATCTCTGATTCTGTTTCTTGAGGTAGAACTTGATCGACAACGCTACACCGCCACATACCAAACACGCACCAGACATGACCGCGCCACCGGCGTAGTACCGTGGCTTCTGACTGTCAGGGAACATATAACTTGTGTAAAAGTGCGCCACCCCAGCAGCCATAAAGTTGACAATGGCTAAAGCAGCAGCACGTTTCGCTCTAGGCCGTGGAAGAGAAGAGCTGAGCCAGCTAACGCAAAGGTTGTAGGGCGCGTAGGAACCGGAGGTCATGAGGAACATGGAGAAGTATCTTCCACCAAGAGATGGTACGAACATGGCCTAATCGATGTTAGTTTGTGAGATAAGGGTCCAAGTTGGTTTCAATGTACTTACTAGAAGATTCCCAAGGAGAGCAAAGACCATGGGGACAGCGATGTGATAGCCACGTTCGTCTTTATGTGACGCGTGGAAAGATACACACAGCGACACAATGAAGGCGAAAAAGTATGGCGGGGATGTCAAGAGAAGAGTCGTTGTCTGGCCGTAGCCGAGAGTTCCCACGATCGAGGGAAAGAAGTTGTTGAAACTTTGCGCCGTGATCAACGCCATTTGCTGCACAATGAAAAGATACAGTTTGGGATCGATCAAGGCTTGTTTGAGTCCCCAGAAGATCGACTCTGGGTCTTCGTCGACAATTCCTGCATTCTCTTTGCGGATTCTCCACTCCTGTTCAAGGTTTAGTAAGGGGAAGTGGGTAAGAGTGCCTATATCAGGATCAAGAGGACTTACAGCGTAGAGCTGATGCTCTCGTGATATGAAGAGATGCTTGCTTTGTAGTGGGTAGTCTGTGAGCAACGGCAGGAGGAGAAGAGCAATGACTACAGTCATGGCGCCTTCAATGATAAAAAGCCATTCCTATAGGCTGTCAGTGGGGCTTTGACTCACGATCCAGTTTCTGGCTTTGTGAACTTACCCATGAAGGTCTGCCTGCCTTGCCTTCCATACTAGAGGTAATTCCCGCGGCGATCAGCCCTGAGAATGCCGTGGCGAGCATGTTTCCTCCATATAGAATCGCGATTCTGGGGGGCAATTCTTTTCTATTGTACCAGCATGACATCAAAACAAAGACGGCGGGTAGGAAGGGAGCCTCCACTAGGCCAAGGATAAAACGAACGGCTGCGAGCTGAGAGAAATTGGTTGTGAAGCCCTGGCACATGGAGAGAACTCCCCATAAAGAGGTGATTAGGCAGATGTAGTAAGAAGGTCTTACTTTTCCGATGATGAGATTTGAAGGAACTTGTGTGATGCAGTCTTGTGATGAAGTCAGCGTCAAGGCTTCAGGTGGGCTTATAGGGTATTGGATTAAGGCTTACAACCGACATAGAACATAAGAAGGCAAGTGTTGTACTCGGCATTTGTTATGTTGAGCGTCTCTGTGAGACCTGTGATCTTAGCACTTGCTATATTGTTCCTATCGCTTAGAGGTTGTTAGCAGAGAAAGAGTAAGGTAAGTTAAGATAATCAGTCGCTGTTTGTTGACGTACAGAATATTCAGAAGGAACAAGATGAACACCGATGGCATCAAGGTAAGATCAAGACGCCTTGTCAGACCCCTTTCAAGAAGCCTCAATTCATCGATTCCCATGTGCTCCAGCTCCTGAGGCAGAGGCAACTCTTCCGGCAGCAGAGTCTGCCGTTTCTCTGTATGCTCGGCATCTTGCTTCTGTGCTTGGATTGCTTCTGACATCATGAAAGCTACAAGCCCTGACGGAGCAGTTGGTAGGCATGTGTTTCCCTCAAAAGTGGGATCATTATGCTCAAAGTATCTAGTCGTAATATTTAAACAAACTAAAAGTTAGCAACGTTGTAGTGATTGAAGCTCCGGGGAGAAAGCCGGCGGGATGCCCCTGTGACGGCGCCTCTGATCTGGGGCCCCGGATTCTTGGCTTGCGGGGGAGGGGACGGATAGCTCCAGGGTTGTCTTTTAACACCGGGATACGCGCTCGCACCGACTTTTCCGAATATCGGGAAGAATGCCGTAGGACTGGTAGGCTGGATGGAATGCTGGTCGGCAATCATGGCAACACAAGCTAAGGTCAACTTAGCCGCAGATATTGGACCAGGTTGGAACTCATAGGTGAGGAGCAGTATCTTCAAAAAGCGCCCAAGAGCTAATTGTGATTCATTGAGATGCCTCGAACACCTTCTGATTTACCGGCGTCAACGGCTTTCCAACTATAGTGCCGTCACTCCCAACCACTTCAACAATATTTTTCATAGCATTCAGCTCAAAGTTGACTCGCGTGGTGATGGCCGCTCCGCCGTTGTGACACGTTAGAGTTACATTCTCCATGTCCGCCAGTGTCTTTGAAACTTGTGGTTCGTGATAATGTACATCCAAGCCAGCAGCTGACAACTTCCCGCTCTGTAGAGCTTCGATCAAGGCTTCTTCGTTGACCACTTCGCCTCGTGCGGTGTTGACGAGCCGGGCACCATCCTTCATAGCTGCAAAAGCTTCCTTGTTGATCAAGTCGTGCGTATGAGCATTGAGCGGAGTATGAAGCGTCACGCAGTCCGACACGGCCAGGAGTTCGTGTAGTGTTGGATGGAAGGTCGCTTGCAACTCTTCCTCGACCTCCAAGGGTGATCGCACCACATCGTAGTAGTGGATCTTCATACCCAACGCGGTCCTGGCCTTGTATGCGAGCTTCTTGCTGATGTTCCCCAGTCCCACGATCCCAAGCACATGATCGCGCGGGCTCCACGATATACCTCCCACCAGACGATGCATGGCAAGGAACTGCTCGGGGTCGCACGTCCTTGCCGCTCTCTGTGCCCTCCAAAAGTTGCGGAAGACGGAGAGGATCATGAACAGTCCAGTGTCCGAGACGGCCTCGTCACTGGCACCTGCGCCATTAGCGTACCAGATCTTGCGACGGCCGAGAGCATCGACATCGGCCCAGTTGAATCCTGCTCCCGCAGAGGCAAAGATGCGGACTGATGAGGGCAGGAGGTCGATGAGTTCTTCATCCCACTGGCCCATCTCGCCGCCGGTCTGGAAATGAGGGCGGAATATCGCAGAAAAGTCGCCATATTTCTTCTCTTTGAGGGCTTTGATGAATGATGCTCGGTCGGGTTCTTCGTTTGGTACGACGGTGAATCGGTCTGTGAAGATATCCTTGTAGTAATCGTGGTTGTATTTGATATCCTCGCCAAGGCGGAGGACGATCGGCCTGTTTCCTGACATCGTCTCAAGATGCTCCTGGAAATTCAAACTCCGTGCATAGCCGTGGAAGTGAGATCTCCGGATCTTGTTTACCGGAAAAATGAATGACTGGTGATGGTTCCTTGGTAAGACCAAAGCTGAAATGTCGGCGGGTATCAATAAGAGAAGTTCCGTGACAGCGATTGATGACTGTTGATTTGCAAGCGCTCATTTTGTGCTCATGCGGATTAACAACATGAAGTGTTCAGACAAACGGAAGTCTTCCGGTGCGGTGTTAATCCCCGCACGTTATTCCCGGCAGGATGACGATATCGGCGAGAAAGCCGATGCATATCCGCCAACCCACTAAACTTCCGAAACCAACGCCCAGTAACAAACACTGAGGGTCACTCATTTATAATCAATCTACCTCATAGATTCAAACAGAGGGTTTTGGAAGAACTATTATTGTTTTTGCAAGAGAGAGTTGTGGTCAAGTCAAGAACTCATAAATTTACTGCAAGGGCTGTACCAGGACCCGAATAGAGGTCCATGTGTGGTTGGCATCTCGAGCAACTACCAGTTTTGTCATCAGACAATCGTCTAAGCCTCTACAAATTTCTCATTGGGAACTTTCATAGTCTCCAACACAGTTGATGCGGAACGAGGCTCCAAACTCTTCTTGACGGGATTCGGCGCAGAAAATACCTCCTCGAGCTCTTCTAGCGTTCTGTGGTTCGTCTCCGGGAAGAAGAAGTAGATGAAGATTGCCTCTAAGATATCCCTAAGGGAAAGGTTAGCATAGATGAATGGAACTCTGATGGCGTTGACCGCCGAGTAACTCACCAGAAGACAAAGACAAGGTAAAAGTAATAGCCAATCTTCTCAAATGCAGGTCCAGAACTGTAAGCAAGCACCAACGAAATAGCCGAGGAGGCAAAGTTGCCGACCGCAGTTCCCTTAGCACGAGTAGAGGTGCTGAGAGTCTCGGCAATGTACATGCTCTGCTGAGCTGTCCAGCCCAGAGAGAACACGACACCGAATAGGAAGACGAAGGCGATGGTGGAGTTGGCGGCGTTGGTGTTGCTTGGGTCGTCGACGGCCATTTTGGACGTCCCGGTGATAACAGCGAACGTGACGGAGCAGAACAAAATGCTGTAGATGAGCAAGGGTCGTCGGCCAACGCGATCGGTAAGACGGGCGCCAATGACACTGCCGAGAAGGCCGAGAATGCTGTTGACTGCGTTGAGGGCTAGAACCTTCTTTTCGTCGGTGATTCCGGCTGTGTTCATCATTGTCACGAGATAATAGCTTGAAAGAGAGTTTCCGGAAGCCTGGTAAAGATAAGTATTAGAAATCACACAACGTTCACATTACAGAGGATTTGAAGGTCTTACCTGTCCCATGATGGCCATACCCAAGACGCAAATAAGTCTTCTCCGAGCGGAGTGAGTGTTCCACAACTCGTGGTAATCCCACCACTTCTTATCACTAGCTTCATTCGAGATCTGGGCCATCATTTCCTTCATCTGCAGTTGCACGATAGGATGGTTGGGGTCTTTTTCGCCGTGTAGCTGAGTCAGGATCTTTGCTGCCTCTTCGTGTCGGTCGTTGGCTACAAGCCATCTGGGCTATTGAGTTCAAGATTAGTTGAAGGATTGGCCCTGAAATTAAGTTGGCTGCTTACACTCTCTGGCAAGAAGAACACAAAAGCGACAACGATTCCGGACGTGACCAGTTGACACCAGACGGGAAGACGCCAGCCGCCGTCACCCGGGATGAAAGAAGCGCCGTAGGCAACCTGTTAAATCGTAATCAATATCATTGCCGAAGGTAATCAAGCTGTTCCGAAGCTTTAGTCGCTTACCCAGCCTGCAATGAAAGCTCCAACGGGCCTGTCTTATTGTTAGCTTGGTGGATGATATTGACATACTAATCAAAGTCCACAGGGATTCATACCACATGCAGTTGTACAGTCCAGTCAGGGTACCTCTCCACTGTTTCCCAAATCATCAGTGGAACTTCACTAGCAGTTCTCAAGATTACACATACCTTGGGGTGAGCTAACTCGCTCACGTAGGTTGGAGCAGAGACACAGCAAAAAGACACGCCAAAGCCCAAAACGAAACGTCCCCCAAGAAACTGAGGGATATGGTTTGCTGTAGCTCTAGATAAAAAGTCAGCGTTATAGACCAAAATTTGAATAATGAGTTTGTCTTACTGGATACAAGTGCCGATCTATGACATCTGTCAGCAAACCTTGCCTGAGGAAAGGTGGAAATGCTTGTATCGCATAGACTTACAATAATGAGCAAAGCGCCAGTAAACATGCCCCAGCGCCGGCCGAGAAGGTCATTGACGGGTCCCGTAAAGAGAATGGCGCAGACCGATCCGACGTTGTACATCATAAACACGATGCCGGTCGAAGAGCCCGAGGTTTTCCTACTCCTGGATCAGCCTGCTTCTCCTTCACAGGCGTCGCTACCACGAAGCACCTACATATCGAAAGTTCGCTGATAGGATTTCATTCCATTGAGCGATCCCATGAGTGATCCATCCTGTTGCTTTCTGTCAGCTGATCCAGGTCGGTATTGCTCTGCAAAGTCAAGGCAAACTTACATATCCGTTGAGGGCACCGCAGCAGTACGCCACGAACAGCACACCATAAAGGTTGAACATGGATTTCGTCCAAGGTGAGTATTTGCCATCTTCTACCTCGTGCGCGATCTCGTGCGCAGCGACGGCTGCCACTACAGCGGGAGGCGCGTCTTCCATGACATCGCTGCTAGCGAGGTCCCGCTTCTCGTCGTCGACGGGGTAGGTCCGGTTTGTTGGCTCAGCCATCCTAGCAGGCAAGTCTCGGCAAATATCTCGGCGTCTTGTTACTCGAGGAGATGGCTCAATTCGAGTGTTGGACCTTTAGAGTCTGGGGGACACGGGGAAAACTACCACCTCCTCGCGATCGATGCAGACGCGATATCGCCCTTATATACGTCTCTCATTGCGCATCTCAATGGTTCGGTTCCCAACTTCTCAATCCCTCGGCTGCAACCAGACCACTCCGTCACCCAAGACCAGCAGCGCAGCAGCCAAGCCGGCGCAAGTGGTCTGTCAGACTGTCTCTGGCATCTACGGCCGTCGCGTATCCACATCCGTGGGTTCACTTGAGCATGGATAAACACCTGAGCTATCCCCGCATTTCTTTTCTTCCCCAAAGTTGACTTACCCCAGACCGCGCGATCCCCCAGGTCGATCACATGAGGGGCACTAGTCCGCTGCGAAATCCGGGTTCTGTCCGGCAGTTTGGAGTTAACGTTCTCGCTAGGAAATTGAACCGGATTCCCGAGGCGTTTTATGATTGGAGGGGATATGAGAGGCATGGCGAGAGCCGTTTAGCTCCCGCTTGGCGATCCTGTGCATTTGGGGGTGGCTGCCCAGTCGGCTCCGAGTGCCCCGGCTGTTTGAATCAACTGAACGATGGAGCTTGATGCTAATGACATGGCGTTCCTTGGCGTTGCGCCCAATGAGCCCTTGCGAATGGCGTATAAACTTTCCTCGACTGTCTGATGGCCCTATTAGTGGCGACCCAGATGGTTGGAACGAGAATGTCCGTCGCGCTATGTCGAGCCATCCAGCTGGGATAATCAAAACCAACATGCAATAGAGATCATAGGGTTGATCAGGCGTACCCACACTGGTGCAGGCATGCATACTTGGGTAAGTATGCGACTCAAGGCCATGTGGGAAACTCTCCTCTCCCGACTCGCAAAATTTGGGGCTCTACAGAGCAGAGAGCCGGTCAAGGAACTGGCCCGGGCCGCTATGAACACTACGAATGCTGGAAAATACGTGCGTGTACGATATTATGAGCTAAGCAGTTACCGTGCAGCATTTGGATCAAATAAAATGCATATTCGATCAATTCTCAAGTGATTGCAAAGGCAGGAAAAGGCTCGAACAGCGTGACGAGCCGCGAAGAGATGCAAGCCATGACTTGAAGCCACGACTCCTCGCATCGTACTTAGTACTTAAGTGAGTAAGTAGACAGGGGAAGGATTAGTATTCCGCTTGAGATTAATGGACTTGCCAAACTCAACTTGTGAGGACCTTGGATCTCAAATTTCCCTTTTCAGAGCTGGTGAGTGTGAAGGATCCCTAGCGCGTCAAGCTATCTGCCTTCAGTAGCCCTCTTGGCACATATTGGAGGTGTCTGTTCTTGCATTCGGGGAGCCGGGGCCGGAACTATTGTGCTTTGCCATTTCCTGAACATGACAAGCATGTCGTTGTCCGATTGCGGCTTGATAAAAAGGTATTGATACAAAAAGCCCTTTTGCAGGAAGTCTTTACCCGTGACATTCGGCCCCAGCCGGTCTCCGTCGGACCATCACCCCCGCATGAACAGATGCCAGATCCTTGGCCTCAGTTAGTCAAAAAAACAGAAAATGCGGGCCTCTTCCACTCTGGTTAATGACGCTTGTTGGTGGTCTTATGTCGGCACGACTTTTGCGAAGCTTCCCCCAACGCGCGTGATCTGAGCATGGTATTTCCGCCATCAAGCACCAGATCTCTCCCGAGAATCGCGGCTCTCTCGATCAATACCGCCTCTAGAGTTGTGTGGAAATCTCTCGAAAACCTTGCCGCTTGGGGATGAGTGGACGCCTCAGGGATTGAGCCTTACGTCTCCATGACCCCAAAGATCGGCAGTGTCGTCGTAACTCAACGCATCAAAATTCCCAGTACCCCCCGTAACCTATAGAACAGGCAAGTGTCATGTTAGACTTGTCGATTCTAGCAGGGTTATATGAGAAATGTTACCTACCAGTGAATCAAATTGCGCCCAGTTTGTCATATTAAAGAATCCGACATCAAAGGCGTGGAAAGGATCGGCAACATCTTGGGGCACGCCTTCGGCAGCTCGTCCCACCGCAAGCCTCAATCCGCTGTCACCAACCCCGGGATCCAGTTGAGACTCCTGGTATGATACGAGGGAATTCTCATTGTCCTCATTTGGCGTTGAAAGATTTCCAGCTCGAGGAGTTGAACACGACGCGAGATAAGTATTATTCCGCAGAACCTCGAGGCGCAATTCTTGTAAGACAACACCGTAGCGCTGCATAAGTGATCCACTAGTTGCAATACTTTCAATCTGAGCATGGCATCGAGAAGCAAGACGGAAACAATCCAGGTAGGTCTCTGGTGACTCGGTACGGCGCTGGATTGCGAAAACGTAAAGCACTACGACTGCACTGAATCCGTAATACGGGATGAACTAATGGGTGTGAGCGTGTGCGGTGCTAGAATGATTCTCAAAACAGAAGGTAGCAACTCACAAAGAGAGTACTATAGAGCTCGCCGGCGTCCTTGATATAGTTGATGTGCTTCGTGATTTCTGTGGCGGCGTCCACGCAGAGCTGGATATTTTTTCGCATCTCTTCATGTCTCATTTGCAACCTGTCATCTTCTTGACCGTGTCCAGAGAGGTTATTGAGGGAATTGATGAGAAAAGGTCTCTGAACAAGTATATAGGCATGCCAAAAGGCAAGCTTGAGAACGTCACGTTGCCTCAGAACCAGCTTGACATACAAAGCTGGAGATCCAACTGTGTCAAGAAGGTAGGAAATTGGCTCTCGCCACTCAAGCAAGTCTTTGTTGAACCTTGCAGCGAGTGTAAGGTGCTCCTTAGTTGAACAAGGTTTGATGCCATAAAGGCTCCGCAGAATTCGGGCTACTATCCTTGAGAGTCTACTGCTTTTAGTGGTTGACCGTTGCTTTTCCATGAACTTGCAGGAAAGATCCAACACAACGATGAGATTTTGAATGCTTACTTGATTTGCGCAACAGGAGCTGATATAGCCAAGCGACTACTTTCTGTCGAATCCATTCCACAGCCGGAGCGTAATTGATCATCTTCAATGCAAAGCGGCAATTCCTGGTCAATATCTTCGTCATGGAAGGTCATTGGTCGCCCCAAAGCAGCGCTGAGATAGGTGTTGAGATTGTAGGCACACCAAAAAGTACGTTTTCGACACTCTAAGTCAACAAAGTTTAGACGACCAGAAGTTTTGGGAGCCACTTGGGATTTCCTATGAATACCAAGCGCTATTGCCAGTTGTGCGGTAATACCAAAGAGCGTCCAGCAGTGATTAAGCCTAGATTGTGCCAGTAGATAGAAGCACTGTGCTAGCCGCGCTTGGATATGCGTCAGTCTGATTTCACCCTTTTCCATGGAGAGTTGGTGTTCCGCAACAGCGAAGAATCGAGCACTGAGTAGCGAGAAAGGTAAGCAAATATCTTCAACGTTGTCTCGAACTCGGACAAGATACTTGCCTGGCTTCTGTGCATTCTATAATAGAATCTTTAGTCTGCTCGGACTGGCGACTTCGATAATTGTTCGAGTGGGCAAAAACCATGAATAGAAGCGCAGTTCGGCTCCTTGCCGACTCCTTATAGAGCATAAATCCATTCGTCTCATACAACTCCTCTAGCCAGGAATGAATCGTGGGCCGGTGCAAAAAGCGATGTGTCGTGGCAGCAAAGTCGAAATACCTTCTAACCATCGATTCTGCGACAGCTTTCGGCGGCAAAATCGCAAACGAAGAGTCTTGTCCAGGCAATGGACGATCCCCGAAGTTGAAGACTGAGGAGTTCAGAAATCCAGGAGATTGCACCTTCAGTCTTTTCTGTATTCGAGAGAGAAAGGAAACACCGGATGCAGGTCCTACATAGTGGCCCTGTTCATCTATTTGTGGTGGCTCTGGCGAGTTCCTCAACGAGTTCGTCTCGGAGAGCTGGGGAACATGGTCAACCGCCACAGCACAGCGAGGACTACTTGTCATCTCCCCATCTTGAAAGACAGACGGAGATTGAAACGAGATTGGCGATTCAATGGCAGTTCTGGAGGTTGAAGTTAAACCTCTTTGAATCGTTTCGACAAATGGATTCTGATGAACAGAGGTTCTGGGGTGCTTTCTGCCCGTGGCCTTCTCAGAAGGGCTTGGGTTCGCGCCCGCTAGAGAACTATGCCTTTCGAGATTCTCGGCATCATTATCAATACCGGGAAGAAATTGACCTCGTCTGTAGGCTGCGGTGAATTGGCAATCTAACTTAAACTCTGCGCAAAAGACGCACGGCCATGTCCCCGAGCATCGTGTCTTGCGACTGAAACCAGCATGCTAGATGTTAGCCATTGAACAACATGACACACCATTCTGTTGAAAACTAACGATTTGCACCTATCGCAGGCCCTGCTTACTCGTGGAGGCACAGGATCTCCTCGGAGCCTTTTATGTGGCCTGTTCGATTCTGCGGTATCGATTGCCAGTCGAGTCCGGGACAGTGGTGCGATCGGCGACTCATTCATTGCTTCCTCGGATAGACTAGATACTTTGCGCGAGAGACTCGAATTCACTTCTGTCATTCATCAGACAAATGTTGTTGATGGTACGACTCGGATGCACTTTTCCGTCTTTGGAGCCGCGGATGCCCGCTCCCTCGGATGTCGGACGTCTGCCGATCCTGGTTCTACTCCAACATGCGCGGAAAAGGCGGCGTTCCACCCCACATACGGATTATTGTCCTTCGAATGGCACACTAATCCTACAGATCGTACCCCGCGTGGTCACCTATTAGACGACCAGATATTCAAGCTGCTGGAGTTCAGTTCGGTTGGTGACGTTAAAAACATCGCTAAATTTCACGGGCTGCCTTCAACAACAGCAACGAAGCAAGCCGAAAACAGACAAGAAAGGGAGGATCTGAACTCGAAATCACAGGCAGCCATCATGTATCGACGTGGGACTATTCGGGATATTGTCATCACACCAGTGGCATTTCATGACATGCCGCTGCTAAATAGCGTTGGTGTACATGAGCCATTTGCACTACGCAGCATCATCGAAGTCATAACAGATGACGGTTATGGATTAGGGGAATCATACGGAGACTCAACACACTTGGGCCGTCTCCAGCTTGCGGCCGATAAAGTCAAGGGCCTCACCGTGTACGAAACAAACTCGATATACCAGCTATGCGTCGAGTCCTTGACAGGCGACACCAGCACCGGCGGCGACGGGATGGCAGGCATGGTGACGACAGCCTCCGTTGCGGACAAGGTTTTCTCACCCTTTGAAGTTGCGTGTCTCGACATTCAAGGAAAACTTGCAGGGGTACCTGTGAGTGACCTTCTCGGCGGCCGCGTCAGAGACAACGTCCAGTATTCGGCATACCTCTTCTATAAGTGGGCAGGGCACCCTGGACAGCCGGACGACGAATACGGCGCGGCTCTTGACCCTGCCGGTGTGGTAAAGCAGGCCAAAAAGATCATTGACGAATACGGCTTCAAAGCGATCAAGTTGAAAGGCGGTGTCTACCCACCAGCACAAGAGGTGGAAGCGATCAAAGCATTACATGCAGCTTTTCCGGGTGTGCCTTTAAGACTCGATCCCAACGCCGCCTGGACCGTTGAGACTTCAAAGTGGGTTGCAAAGGAACTCGAAGGGATCGTCGAATACCTGGAAGACCCGGCTCCAGAAATCGAGGGCATGGCTGCCGTTGCCAAAGAGGCGTCGATGCCGTTGGCGACAAACATGGCCGTCGTTGCATTCTCCCACTTGCCCACCTCCATTTTGCAGAACGCTGTTCAGGTGGTGCTCTCCGATCATCACTTTTGGGGCGGTTTGCGCAAGTCTCAGACTCTGGCCGCCATCTGCGCGACTTGGGGAATGCGTCTGTCGATGCACTCCAACAGTCACCTGGGCATATCGCTTGCGGCCATGACTCATCTTGCGTCGGCTACCCCCAACCTGGACTATGCTTGCGACACTCATTGGCCATGGAAACCACGGGATGAGGATGTCGTCGTTGATGGAGTACTCAAGTGGTATGATGGTGGTTTAAACGTTCCGACCGCGCCTGGCTTGGGAGTTGAGCTAGACAGGAAGAAGTTGGCGTATCTTCATCAACTCTACCTGGACTGCGGACTAAGGAAACGCGATGACACAACGTATATGAGAAAGTTCCACCCTGAGTTTTCTCCAAACGTTCCAAAATGGTAGATACGTAGGGTATGACTAGATTCACCTTCTCAGAAGGCCTCTAACATAATGATTCTGCAACTTCAGTCTCCATATCTCAACTACTTCCCTGCGGAGATAGTGTTCATGCACCTAAGGTGTAGTTTTGGGCTTCTCAAGAATGGAGCGCTTAGCATTAAGGTACAATGATTAATTTCCTCGAGAACACAACCAGTCTCTAGACGGAATATTAAGATTCAACATGAGTACACTCTCGTACTGTCAGGTTGGTGAAAGCCAAACGACTTGGTATGGGGTATCTCCCCTCACAAATGAAAGTCATCAACTCGCGGTTCTCGGACGGATTGTTCCTACATATCGAGGGGACAGTCGTGACTCAACGATTAGGCCTGACTGATCTTCCACGAAAATCGGCCGATGCTGAAGACAGCCCCCACCTCATCCGCGGATAGTCTAAACCAAATGGGATTGTCTCCGGCATTTCTGACCCCTGCCATGAAACGAGACTATGATCGGGATTTCGGAGAATTTTGATGACAATCCGACATGTGCTGACTAGCTAATATGAGCAAGACTTCATGGATGACTGCGGGGGTGGAACAGATCCTCCTGCTCCATCGTGGGGAAGCGGATATGCGGGGAGAACCAGCGCCTTATTGCTCTTGCTGACAATATTATGTCCCTAGATGTGTACCAACATGCTGATATACAAGGACTTTCTTGTTTCAGTAACTTCCTATAAATGAATGGATAACAATCATTGACTTGCAGTTTTTCTTTATCACCGCAGCTCGGAACCACGTTTGCGTTGTTTGTGGATACAGTTTTGCTTCAAGTTCTTTTTGTTATTATTTTTTTTCGCTCAGAGAAACCTTAGGCTGGTCTCTAGGTACGCTATTTCTGTGAACAATACCTTCGATCTCCTCAAACTCGCACCATTTTGGCAATGGTCGGCAAGATGGTGAAGCAGAGGGCTGGCCATCGTGGCAACTCGACTAGGTCGATTCTCATTGGACTAGCAATCAGTCTTGCTGGGTAAGTCCATATGTTTCCAAGGATAATCTAGCGTTGTGTGGAGGCTAATATTATGTACCGCCCAGATTCGTGTATGGTATCGACACAGGCATCATTGCTTCGACCATCGCTCAGACGACCTTCAAACTTTACATGTACGGCCCATCAATGGACAATGTGTCCGTGCGAGCAGGCATCGTATCTGGATACTACGCAGGATACGCCTTTGGCAGCGGTGGTTCCGCTTACTGCATGGACAAATTATCCCGTCGCTGGACACTACTCTTTGGAGCGTGTGTCAGCGTCGCAGGAGCCGTGTTGCAGACCGCCGCCGTGAACCCGGCCATGATGATTGTGGGTCGTGCCTTCTCGGGATTTTCGACGGGTATGGTCTATCCGACGGCCCCTGTGTACCTTGCCGAGCTCAGCCCTCCAGAGAATCGCGGATTTCTTGTTGGCTTGAAAGGGTTGATGAACACTCTCGGCTTCTTTGTTGCTGGATGGGTGGGCTATGCAGGCTCGTTTGCGGTTGGTGAACTACAGTGGCGTATCCCTCTAGCCACACAGATTCCGCCTGCACTGTGCCTCGCCATCATGACATTTTTCCTGCCCTACTCTCCGCGATGGTGTAAGTCCCTACGTCGTCATTTTTCACCATGATAGTTGTTAGGTCAAGGAGTTCCGAATTACATCTGAATACTAACAAAAACTGGACAGTGGCTATGAAAGAGCGATACGACAACGCCAAGAAGGTCATGTATTCTCTTCACGCCCACAGAGGTGCAGAAACGATAGAGCAAGAGTTCGCCGAAATGATCAGCCAAATTCAACTCGAAGCAAACAAGAAGAAAATTTCCAACTTCTGGAACCTGTTCACACGCCAGTACATCCGCAGAACTTTGCTAGCTTGCTTAACAGTCAACATGATGAAACTGTCAGGGTCCAACATCATCCAGAACTACCAGTCCGTTATGTATAATTCTCTTGGGTACGAGGGCCAGACTGTACTCCTAATCGGCGGGTTATACGGCTTCATGGCTGTTATCGGCCAGATCATCAACGTCTTCTTCGTTGCCGACCACTGGACGAGACGCATCACTGTTATATCCGGGAGTTTTACGCTCGCCTTCCTCCTAGCGGTCTTGACGGCGTTGTCGAAACTTTTCCAAGACGACTCCAATCCCGCCGGGTCCCGTGCTGGTGTTGCGTTCATATTCTTATTCGCTTTTGCGTACTCATTCTTCTTTAACAGTGTGAATTGGGTCTTGGTAGCAGAGATCTTTCCTCTCGACCTCCGTGGCGTCGGCGTTGGCTTCTCGGTCTTCACACAGGCTGTTACGGCAATTTGGTTGTCTTACGCGGCATCACTCGCGTTCGATGCCATCGAGTGGAAGTTTTACTTCGTCTTTATTGCCTGCAACGCCTTTGCGGGGACCGTCTATTTCTTTTTCCTGCCCGAGACTCGCTTTTTGTCACTTGAAGAGGTGGCTGCCAAGTTCGGGGACGAGATCGTCAATCCCGGAACCAAGGACCCGGAGCTAAATCGGTTTGAGCAAGATGCGGCGGATATCAAGAGGCAGCCTAAAATCTCTTCAGACCACGTTGAGGATTCGAGAAGATGAAGAATGAGTGAGTAAATATCAAGGCGCGAGGCTGAGGCTTGTCAGGAGCCAGAAATGTCATTTTTGGTGCTCAGTAGCTAAATATCTGGGGGAATGTCCAGTTTAATTGTTCTTTTTTCCGTCAGTATTATCATCATTTGCCACCTTGAATCATATCGAAGCGCTCTCTTCTACATGACGACAAAATTCTCAACATTTTACATGTCGCAACTCTTCTTCTCTTCACAATCGACTAATAGAGTCATTGACGGTGACCCGGGCCTGGTGTTAAGGAACCCTGATTACTCCTTCTACTTTCCATTCCAGCAAGCTTGACCTCGCGGCGTGCTAGACGCCAATCTATGATATCGTCGGGATTCTTTGGCGGATGCTCGACGGGCACTGTGTTCCTGCGGGCAGCAAATCAACATGTTCCGCACTATATCCTAATACTAATTACATCCCAATTGTTAGCAGGTGGTAATAACTTCGTGAGAATGGAATGTGGGGTGCTTTAGCTGAAGCCGTAAAGCTCGCTAATATACTTACAATCAGAGAGACTCTCATCGGTAACGAAACAATCCACAGGGGCCTTGCAGGTCATCGTTTTCTCCTCGTCTGAATACTTCACTCGTGGAGTTCCTGGACTAAAAAAAAGGACTTCCGTCGGGGTTCGGCATCAATGATTGTAAAACCAAATGCGGAATCTCACGATGATTTTTGAAATGCGTAGTCCAACCACTCATGCATGTCGACCGTATTGAGGTCCACCTCGGGGATGTCTAGATCACATAGCGTTTCGTGAAGCTTTTCCAGTCCGCTGTGATGCCTCTCCTCCCAGACTCCCAGCCGTCGTCTTCGCCTCTCATCCCGCGCCCGACGCGCAGGATCCTTTTGCTGATATCGAAGGACCCTGTCGAGAAGTCCGTCCATAAGTGATAAAACAAGACATGCTAACCACCCTTTCGCCGTCAACGAGTGAGGTAGAAGAGTGCCGCCCGATGCGACTGTGGGCCGTAGTCTTAGCTCAGACATTGCCTCGGACCAAGTATGATTGACAGTGGCGTTCATCGCTCTCGTTGGTGGTGAATGAAAATTCGGAATAAGATCTCGAGGGGTCCGGCTTAGGTTGAAGGAGGTGAGTTCTCCCACATTACCCAGGTGGTTGTGGTCAATTTACAGTTATTGCGGAATCACCGGGGTCTGGAAAGTCTAAAAAATGTCCGAACGTCAAGCCACAGCATCCATACCGCGCGGTACAATGTGTCGATGCGTTCGACAGCTGTAGGAGCAAACCTTAACTCGATGAAACGGTGCCGTAGAACTTCAATGTCACCTGGTATGATTTCGCCTAATCCCTTTCATCTAAAATCATTTATCTCAGAGGCAGGTGTTCTAAAAAACGGCCAACGCTTGAAAAACGTCTCCAGTCATGGACCGTGCTTGGTCAAGCACGAACACAACAGAAGGCAATGGTTGGAACTCTGTTCTTGCATTTGAGTCAAGGTAGTCATTGCCTCACTAGGCAATCATTTGACTTGCCGAAAGTCTCGGGCTGAAGTTGGCAAAGACATATATATACGGAACAGTAACGAAAGGGGAGGGCCTGCGATAACGTACCCAAGTTACGATCGTGGAATCCACAGTTCACGACGTGTTAGCTTTGAGTACTAGGTGTCTTCAGACAAGCCACGATGAAACGACCCAGATTAGCAATACGGATACACGTACTCCCTTCACGTGGGAAACTTGGATACGGATCCACGTAAAGGAATACACGTAGAACAAAAGAGTGGGTATGCGGAAGCAGATCTACATCAATTCCACCCAACTCCAAAAACCTAGCACAGCTCTCCGCTCGTCTTCATGCACAAGCGTTCAAAGGGGGCCCCATCGCCGAAAGCGAGAGCGAGCGGAACACCACGCTCTGACGCAGGTGTGGCTGGAAACGTCAGGGGTGGCTTTTCAGGCCAAGGTCAAAGTCTGGAACACATTCTACTCCGTTAGGTTGATCGTCAGGGACAGAGCACGTTGTTTAAGGTGGGAAAGAAGCAAGTACCACAGTTTAATCCCGTCAATGAGAAGTAATCATTTCGTCCCATCGCTTTGACGGCGGAATGATGAGGTGGCACTGCGAAATCTCCTCGACCTAGTGATCCGGGGTAGGGTCTTAAGATGGCACACTAGGGCGCCAGTACATAGCATGGCCTCGCGGGAAACGCCTCATCTGCGTCCATCAGGCGAACCCTTCTGTGGAACCGTAATGCCGTGTCTCTTCGGGCCAGTTCAACTGCCAGTAGGGCAAGGTAGCTAAGGTAAGTGGCAGGGGTGTAGTGGTTCGCTGACGAAGACGGCTATGGCGGACTTGCGTGCTACGTATCGTCGACTAACAAGTAGCGTAAGCTCGACCAGAATATCTTGCTAGAAGCCTTTTGCGGACTTTGGGTGACGAAATCCACAATGGAGTTTTTGGATGGATTCCACCTACAAGGCTGAGTCGATCTTCCTAAGCGGCAAGGCATAGAGCGAGACCGATTGCGATTGAGACTTTCGTAGCGGATCATCATGATGGAGCACCGTATTGTAGTGATTGAGGAAGATCGCAGAGACAGTAGCGTAGAGGGTACCATTTTGTTGTAAAGGGGGTTGCACTGAAAGGAAGAAGAGTGGCAAGGTTATTCAAAAGAATTTCCCTCAAGACAGATAAATACTTGGTTAATTCTTTCCCATATCATTGTCGAAGTACGCTTCACCCACGATCACTCACTCCAACAAGCCTCCCCGTTTGCACTTCAATCAACAGTCAATCACAACCATGTTGTATTCTTTCGCTCTCCCAGCTCTTCTGCTGTTCAACTCTGCCTCGGCTACCAGTTCCTTTTTCGGCCGCCGAGACCTCCTGGTCTCCGACAACGTCAAGTGCGCTTGCACTGGCTTGAGCAATCATTCTTCTAACTTCACCCTCTTCTCCAACTCGACAGCGTACGAGACCCAGCGTGTCAACGTCTGGGACAAAAGAGCCAACCTTCATCCAGCCTGCATCTATCTCCCTTCAACTGCCGACGATGTCGCTAAGGGCGTGGAGATCCTCTCCACTTGTAAGGCCCAGTTCGCTGTCAAGGGTGGTGGCCATATGAATGTACGCATAATCTTACTCCCGAACCCCCTATCTCTTTATCCCCTGCAGCATAAGGCAGCCCACTAAGCACTCATATCCTGCAGTACCCCGGAGCCAACACGATCGACGACGGAGTCCTCCTTGCTCTCAACGGCCTGAACACAGTCACAGTCAACAATGACGAGAACACAGTCGACGTCGGTCCCGGCAACAAATGGGTTGACGTCTATTCCGCCCTGGCGCCGTACGGCAAGTACGCTATTGGCGGCCGTCTCAAGACCATTGGCGTCCCCGGCCTGACCTTGATCGGCGGCGTGAGCTACTTTCTCAACAAGTACGGTTTCTCCATGGACAACGTGATCAAATACGAAGTCGTCCTCGGTAACGGCACTCAAGTCTCCGCGACTAACACGTCGAACCCGGATCTCTTCTGGGCTCTCAAGGGTGGTGCTAGCAACTTCGGCATCGTCACCAAGTTCTCTCTCAAGACTTTGGATCTGCCCATGGCGACTAGCACTTACCAGATCTTCAACGAGTCTGCCACACAGGCCTTCATCAAGGCTGCTGCCGACTTTGCCCTTAGCGATGACAACTCCGAGGGTGCCGGTGCCGTCATCAACATCAACTACAATGTGACGACTAAGGAAGTTGTCCCGCAAGTCTTCGGTCTGCAGGAGACCACTGTCTCACCCCCGTCTCACTTTGCGAACTTCACTTCTATTCCCGCCGTTTCTCGCAGCCATAATGTGACGCGACCTATCGACTGGCACTCCCAGATGTTGTCCCCCAACCAGATGTTCCGGTAAGAAAAGTCCTCGTCATGACCGCTTTCCAGCGCACACTTGTTAACGATTTTCGTTTAGCATTCAGTTCGGTCACCAGACTATCATTCCCGACGCCGACCGCCTGTACGAGATCTACCAGGCCTGGGTTGAAGCTATTGCCGACATCGCCGACATTGAAGGCGTCCGTCCTACATTCATCTTGAACACAGTCCCGAGGACTGCTTTGGCTGTTGGGAAGAATAACGGCATCGGCAACACTTTCGGTCTGGATGCAGACCAGTCCTATGTCTGTAAGTTCTCGCACCCGCGTCCTCATTAATTTCGCCCCGGCAGTAACTGACTGAGAATCTAAGGGTGGCAAATCACTACCTCTTGGGCCCGCCCTGAGGATGACCTCCGCATGACCGCTTGGTCCCAGAACTTCCTCGCCCACCACCACGAGATCAACCAGGAGTTGGGACTTGCGACCGAGTTTGTCTACATGGGCGATGCTGGCGAGTGGCAGAAGCCTTTCCCTGCTTACGGACAGGGTAACCTGCAGAGGATGAAAGATATCCGAGCTCAGTACGACCCCAACATGGTGTTCAGCAAGCTCAACTGGGGTGGTTTCAAGCTTGGACATTGAGACTGCGACGTCGTCTTTGCCATGCAACGACTATTCGAGAAAGACTCATCTGGTTCAAGCTTCGCGGATAAGGGAGACGTTTGCATCGTTTGACTTTTTCCTTTCCTTCTTTGCACATATTTATCAAATTTGTTTTCACACCTGTATTTTCACCTTTGGTAAAATCAATTCTTTTGCTCTTAGCCATGCATAGACGATAGATGCAATGTGTGATTTTCCTCCAAGATTCATGGTCCAGCATGATGAATGCGCCCCTCAGACTGCGCTCTCTGCTTCTTCTCGGCCAGCTTTGAGCCAATGCCAATGCAGTAACGCGTGTGGCCATCGAACACCTGGGATCGATATTCCCTCTCAAACCACAAAAGACATGCCCTTAACGATTGGTTGTTCGCTCTCTTCCGAAACGCCATGTCTATAGGTAGTCGTAATTCCCTCTCCCAATCTTTATTGTTATTTGTTGTCTTCGTCGATGTTCGTTTGGGTTCTAGTTCGC